AAGTGATTCCTTTGTTAATCACATTGACGTATTAAAACAATAACCAAATTTTATTATACGAATATCGACTCTTAATTGAGGTCGTCTTTAAAAAACAATAAATGTATTATCTTATATGAATATCAACTCTTAATTGAGGTCGTCTATAAAATTTTTTTTTTTTTATATGAATATCGACCCTTAATTTCAACCCTTAATTGAGGTCAAATATCAGTTCTTAATTGAGGTCATCTAAGTCGAAATTGTCAAACACTCTCACACACTTTTTATTTTTACTTTTATTTTTATTACCTTAGTCTTGTCACCTGTTATGACACTTCCAAACTACTTTCAAACCTTAGTCTCGTTAGATTTACGTTTGCATTGCACATTTCATCATCTTTTTGAAAGCTATAGGATGCAATGCAATGCAATGTCGTCTTCATTTCTGACTCCTTGTGAAACCTCAAGATCTAATTTTTCATTCAACTACTAACTCAATGTTCTTTTTCATTCAACTACTAACTCAATGTTCTTTTCTGACGATTTGACTTGCGGTAGACCTTCGTCCTCCTCCTAACTCTTCTTTTCTTCTACCAACAAATGACTAATTTCTTTTCTTAGACATTATCTACTAGTTTTCTCTTAGACTTTATCTATTTTAATCTTTAAACTCTGCATATTTATATATAGGCTTGAGTTATTTTATAGAGATATCCATCCCATGATCCATACAAAAGTTGACTCACAAAACCAACAACACCTAATCTATGCTAATACCACCAGGAATATCCAAGCCGTCAGCTACTTAAATACACTTTTTATGGCCATCCTACAACATTCCACCTTTGAACTTCAAATCTGAAAGCGAAGCATGTTGGAATAAAACAAATGGCACCTTAATTTTATATTAACCCATTTCATAAATTCCAAATATAAAATTCTGCACATCCAACCAAAAAACCATGCTGTTAATATTAAACTAAATATACAATTATATATACATCTTCCACAACTCGTGTCACAATCGAATCATCCAAAGACAATATTAAGAAAAATATCAATCATCACTACTAATTAAAAAACTATCAACAATTTTAATTCCTCCTACATTTCCTCTCTTATCATATCATAATGACTTGTTCTTTCGATTAAAAAAAAAATTAAAAATTGTCCTACGAATCAGAAGAACTCATCTAGGACCCAATGAAAAAGAGATATCAGGCAATTTCATGTTATCAGACCAATTCTTAGACTTCAAATACAACGTGGAAATCTTCCCTGCGACGCGTCCCATGTTAGGCCTTTGATCCGGGTCCACGTGTACACAATCCAAAGCTACACGTGTCAGCTTCTCCGCAACATCAACCGGAAACGAATCTTTCAACCTCCGATCCACCCACATCCTCAGCTTCCCTTCCACGCTACCATCGCCACCGTCCACGGCGGCTCTCGCTGACTCAATCACCGATTTCCTCACAAAGTCACGGCTCTTCTCGTCAAACTTAAACTTCAGCGGCTCCTCACCGGACAAAAGCTCCAGTATCACCACTCCAAAAGCAAACACATCAGACTTCTGCGTCGCCACGCCGGTGGATTGAAACTCCGGCGACATGTAACCCCTAACACCTTCGAATTGCACGTTGGAGCTTCTGAAATCCTTGGATCTAGGTTCCTCCGTGATTTCGTTTTCCCCCAATTGTTTGGTGGCGATTTCGTTTTCCTCAACGGCTTCACCGCAGAGCTGAGCCGCGCCGAAATGACAAACCCTTGCGTTGAAATCAGGTTCGGTAACAATAATCGCGCTACTTTTGATATGATTATGAACGAAATTGAAATTCAAGCCGCTTTTACTGTGAATGTAATCGAGTCCATGAGCGAGATCAGTCGCTACTTGCATTCTCGAAATCCATGTAGAAAGAACGGTGAAATGAACATTTCTGGTGTTACGTAAACAATCGGAGAGGTTAGCGCCGTTAACGAATTCGTACACGAGGTAAATATGTTCGCCGGATATTGAAACGCCGAGGAGTTTGATGATGCTGACGTGGTGGCTGCGACAGACGACGGAGAGAAGTTCGCGAAGCTGAGTGGTTTGGAGTTTGCGTTGGAATTTGCGCTGGAAGATGATGACATCAGCGCCGCGGAGTGTGCAGTGCCAGCAAGGGGTTGAGGAAGAGTAGCGTTTGGAGAGGAAGTTGTTTGTGGCGGAACAGATTTCGGAGAAGTCGTAGATGTTGGGATTTTCTGGGAGTGAGTTGCGGAGTTTGGTGAGAGATGTTGGGGTTGAGATGGATGTGTCGGATGAGAGACGGAAGCCGGTGGAGCCGCTTGTGGTGGCGTAGGAGGTGGAAGGGTTGCCGGAGAAAGAAGGGGTTTTGGGTTTCGTGGGGTTTGATGATGATGTTTTTGATAATGTTTTTGATGATGATGATGATGATGTTGTTTTTGGTGTTTGGTTTGTGCGTTGTTGTTGTGAACGTGGGGTAGAAGCGTTAATGGCCATTTTGGTTTTGCACATAGGAAAATGAAAGAGTTAGAAAATAAGATTGAAGGGGTTTTATTGAAATGAATTGAATGGAAGTGAAGATTGTGAGAGGGTCAATTGGGGTTTGACGATTCAACGATGTGGACACAACTGAAACAGAAATTAAATAAGTGAATGTCAATGTTTTTATGTTTTTTTTAATAAAGATTAAATAGCAAATACTCGTGTGGGTTCTTTCTAATTAGTCGGCGTTAAGTTGAAGCTTGTGGGCGTAACGGCGTCGGCAACCATCCAACTAACTACCCGTACCTGCCTCGGGTAGTACCTTAAGAGTCAACTTTTATCGTCTAATTTTTATTTATTTTTAAAATTTTTAACTTAGAGATAGTACGTTACTTTCAACTTGAATGTGAAGTATAGAAATTTGGATTATCATAATTACACGGTTAACTTAGTCCATCTAAATACCAAGTATTTGAAGACAAAGCCAAATATCTATACTAAGAAAATTCATGCATGTGCCTCCATTACTCAATCAATCTAATCTAGACCTCATGTGATTTCCTTACATGGTTTTGTTGGAGAGTTTGTAGGGATGGTAATGGATATGATATGGACATGATAGTGTAGTATCTGTCTCATGATTGCAGTTTGAAAAAATCTCGTTCATCGAGTTTATATTCCGATATTTATGTGAGCATTAATATTTGTATTTATAGATATCTAAGTATTCATATTAAAAATGATATTGTTGAATTAAAAAATAAACAAAAAATTATATTAAAATGCATATAAATTTAATAATAATATATTTAATAAAATTAATAAATTAATTTGAGTACATAATAATAAAAATAAAAACGCATTACATAGGTATGAGACAGACTAAATATTAAAGTACCAGTATTTGCGTCATGCTCGTTTGTTTTAATGAATAATTGTTTGTACCCATTTTACAAATTTTTATCTTATCCATTATTAATAAATTTTGCAGACATTTAATAGAAATGAGTCTAATTGTCATCTTAAGAATTTAGAAGGAAAAAAATGTGAGATTTTTGAAAACAAAAAGAAAGACACGGTGGAAGGAATTGAATCATTTAAGTGAATTAGGTTTTGACGCGTTTAATTTTTTATAATATAAAATCTTTGCAATTTAGAAAAACTCAAAAATAATATTTGAGAAGTAGTTTGAAGGGCGTAGATAAATTTTTTACTTATATTTATATTGATATAATATTTTAAAAATTAAAAATATAGTATTAATAAATACTTATTTATAAAATCAATCTCTTAAAATGTTGAAAATTTTCTTTTTTTTTCCATCAATTCTCTTTTGCACGAAATTCTCTCTTCTCCCCTCCCAATTCGCAAAGAAAGTTTAATTATTTAGTAGAGAAGTACTTGGAATAAAAATATATAAGAGGTTACCTTTGTTTATAACTAAACCTATGTTATTTATAACCATAAACATATAATTCCTCATGCGACACTCAATCGAATAAACATAGTTAATTTTCAACGCAAAGAATCTCCAACTCATAAACACCATAGAACTTGATCATAATACATTGCTAGCAAAATTCACTCACGTTCGTAGAGCATTTGATGTCCAATGTGGATTCATTCATAATCACACTTTGAAAATTCATATATCGTAGTCAAAAACCATAACATACGCACATAAGAACAAGGCTCTAGCAAAAAATTAAGTCGTCATATTGAAGTTGCGACCTCATAACAAAACCTTAACATATGCATGCAGACTAAATCTAAAAAGATTGCAAAAATAGAGACATAATTAAGGTTGAATTACACAATCCTCAACCTCTATTTCAAAAGAATTTGAATGCTCTGAACTTAATAACTCAAACCCATTCAATACTTAAATAACAATTGTTCTGTTGCAAAATTAGAAATGGATGAGATTGCGGAAATCAAGGCGGCTCAAAGCTTCTCCGGAGATTTGATGATATGACACTGTGGATTGAAGGTTGCAATCATGATGCTTCTTGAACCGAAAACGTTGATCTTGAATCAGTGTTGTTGATCGATGTCGATCTTGAATCAGTGGTGTTGATTGATGTCGATCTTGAATCAACATTGCTAATCTCCGATACATCGACGGTTCAGGGGGGCTACTTGCATGGTTAACACTCCAACGTCCAAGTCAGTTTAGGATTTGAGATGACAACAATGTGAGTGAGGATTAGATATTGTGTTTTTGAAAACCCTTTTGTGAAGGTATTTATACCTTGGGCTTGACGAAACAAGTGGAATAAGTGGGTCTTGTGTTATTGAGTCTTTGGACGACTGTTAGTTGGAATTTCGACGCTAAGAAGAATTTAAGATGTCAAGAAAAGCTGAAGGAAAAATTTGAAGCAAGTAAGTCGAGTTCGACTAAGAAGATTTTGGTGGGATTTCGACTGAATATTGGCGAAGGGATTTTCACTTTTACATAGTGGTATCATTCTAGGACTTAGAATATTTTGTACTTAGTTTGATAATGATTTCAAAGAGATAATTTGAAATAAGGTTGATTAACTATTCTTTTAGCCTTATTTGTTTCTTGAAGGACGCGTGGAAGCATGTGAAGAAAAAAACACATGCAAACGAAAACATGTTATTCTATGGAGAGGTGATCGTTCGTTACCGTTACTGTTAATTTAGTATAAATAAGGGTCTTAGTATCACGATTCAGTGTGTTCGATTGTATACAAAATTCATATTACTCAAAATATCTGAGTGTGTTGAGAAAATAATTGCTGAGTGAAATGTACGTATGAATCACCATATTTTCATCCAATATCAAGTCATTTACATTAATGTTATTTTCATACCTTTTAAATTTCAATTGAAATTATTCTTCATTTTTTTTTGTATTTTATAAGTTATTCTTGCATTACTTTAAAGTTACAAATGAGTGTTGAGATGTTCATTATCAAGAAAACTTAAGAACACTATGCACATATATCTTAAGATCAATCTAATCGATCCTGCAAGTAACCAATGTATCAATTTTGGAGGACTAGCAATTGTTTACAAAAATCCACGGTAAAAAAATTGGCACGTCCAATGGGACCCTTGTGCTTAGTTGTTTTAATTTTTAGTTCTTCATACACAGAAAACAAATTTTAAACTTTATTGCATGAGATTGAGAAGTGGTAGGATAACCAGAAATAACGAAACTTTTCCAAAAAAGAAATACGTTAGGAGAATGGTTAATCCACTAAAGTGGACCAATATTATCCCTTGTGAGAGCACAGAGTCAACCAATAACTCCAAGACTAGTAGTGTCAGGTGGTTTCAGGCCCTATGTGCCTGTATTCATAATGCCTATGAATGGCTGCAAACAACCATATGGTATGCCAACTTAAGTGATGGCGAGTTTGCATAATAGTGCATCAACATTTGCTGACCCAACACTGACTGCGTATTCACCATTGACAGGGTCGGGATCGGCTGTCAATAATCTTGATCGAAATACCCAATCCCTGGGAACATGATTTTCTGCCCAATTAATGCTTGCTTTTACTAAAAATTCTACGGTAGCATTTGAAGGTGAGAAAAACACTTAGAGGGGGGGGGGGTTGAATAAGAGTTTAAAGAAATATGGCAATAAAAACAACTCAAGATTTTTATCCAGGTTCGTTGAACTCAACTACTCCAGTCCACCTTATCAAAGATGATTTGCCTTTCTCAACATGGACTTAATCCACTATTAATCAACTGATTACAATAGTAAGCACTAAGAACAACTGTCTTAGTCTTCTCAAGAACAACTGACCACACCTTGGTCTTCTCAAGGAACTTCTTACAAATTAATGTAAACTAAACAAGTGTTTAGATGCTTCTAATAAGCTGTATCACAACTGTGATATTTACACTTAAGATTTAAGTACAAATAAAACTATACAGTTTTATGAAAGAACAAAAGTATATGAACTTGAGAGATTTCACTATGATGCTTCAAACGTATATGAATATTTCTTTCTGAATGAACTAGTGACTTCTAAATGTTGTAGAAGTTCTCCTTTTATAGCTTTTTCCAATTGCTTTAAGATATGTGCAACTGAGTATTATATTAGAAATATAAGACTTTTCATCACCAAAAGGTATGGGCAGAGACATGCTTTTGGCAGTAACAGTATGGTTGTAGAAGCTTTGGGATTTGCACCACATCTTTTCATTGGACAAAATAGTCGTTGGTTACTTTGGAAGTAGCACCACGTCCAATCAGGTTTACAGCTTCTTCAACAAGCTTCCTTCAGGATGAAGTCTTCATAATCTGCACTTCAGATTTTGGAACTAGCTTAAAAGGAATGGAATGCTTAAGATGACCAGAGCTAAAAGTTTGAGATGATCAGAGCTTGATGGATGATCAGAACTTAATATATCAGAGTCTCAATCTTGATCAGAGTCATCATCAAAGTATGCAGCAGTAAGTGCTTTGAGCGTGAATATTAATTTGATTAGAGTCTGATGATCAGAGCCTCTGTTCTTGCAGTGAAATGAACTTCAGAGTCTGATTTGATCAAAGCTTTTCAACTATTCTTTCAGCAGCACTTCAGATCATTCTGTAGTTTCTGCTTCAGATTCTTCTGGCAGCGCTTCAAAATCTTCTGATTGTCTTGCATCTGATGCTTCAGAGCCTTGCATAGTTGCTTGTACTTATGTATTTTGCTTCTTTAAGAGTATTCATTTTAATACCTGAAACAATAATACTTGAACAAATTTTAGAGTATATATTTTCTTTATACAAAATTCCATAAGAGTTATCATTAAAACATAGAGATATAAGAAACACCAATCTTTGTTCTAACAATCTCTCCCTTTTTGATGATGACAAAACATAGGAAATTTTGTTCAATACAGAGAATAAAATATATAACTCCCCCTGAGATTAAGAATCTCCCCCTGAAATAAATACTCTAATAGAAGAGAATAATTCCCTTTTTGCTTGAGTCTATTTCAGAACCTGGTAGAAATCCTTGTTAGAATAAGAATTAGAGCTTGGATGCTTTCCAGAATCA